GAACAGCGCAAGGCCAACATCTGCACAAAGGTCTGTTTGACCAATCCCCTCCCCTAATAACAACCCTCCCATGTGGTACCGTTATATGTGGAGGCATATTGATTATGTCTAGCATTGAGCAGGAAAGCACAGCGATGAAGCGAGGCATCTACCTTGGATCCCGGAGATCCATCCATACCTTTCGACTGCGTTGCAGCCCCAGAGAGCGGGTCTTTCCAATAACCTTTGGATTTTAAAAGTTTAGGATGCCAAGGGTAAACCCACTAAGCCGTAAACCGTTTCGGGATTCCTTCCCCCTTGTTGGAGTGGTTGATAGGATGGCACGTATGGGCCCGCGGCTATGGGTAGATGCTCGAGTTGCATGGCATCGTCCTATTGAACATCTACTTGGGCGTCTAGATATAGTCCCCCTTAAGTAGATAGAATATGGGGTGTATGGGGATGTTCTTATACAGTAATACACCCAAAGCCATGTTCTATCTACTTAAGGGAGACAATAGGTTGAGGGTACGTATACTTAGTCCTGATTATGCCCAACTATCTTGTTGTTTGCCTTTGCTTCTGCCTCGGGCTGCCCCTTTTTTCATGGCCTCTGAGTGTGGGTGGCGCTTCGAAAGGAGATCATGGACCTTCTCACCTTCATACCATACACCCACTCATTTACGATGACATCCTGCCCCCGTCATAATGAACATTCGCTTCTGTATATACCTAGACACTCCAACTACCCTCCGTCAGGGCCTCCGTCAAGGCCTACGTACCCACAATCAGGGACCACGTATTCCAATTCAGGGTGCTAGGAGGGTGTTAGTAATGATGCTTAAACGGGGCCTGGCGATTGCAGGAAGGGATGTATTCAAGGTGTCGCTTAGGCCCTAAACCCTAAAACCAGAACCAGGCATCTTGATTTAAGTGGGACCCTAAACCCTAAACCCTAAACCCCCTTGCATTTTTTGATGGGCACCAAGCCGACAGTCTCGTTTGGGGTATTGTGTTTTGTCAGAGGCATATATGAGCTGTAGTGTATTCTCCTTTTAAAACGGGGTTTTATAGGAGACTGCTATAGGGCTTATTAAGGGGGATACTAGGAATTTAGACTGTAGCTCATCTGATGTATTTGTACCTGGTTCAGCCGAGAATGATTGCTATTGATGTGGATCTCAGCATGGGCTTTTTGACTTTTACTGCCTCAATCACATAATCTCCATAAACTCTTATAGAATCCTGGTTTCCATTTCATGTTCGTTTTCGTTTCCTTTTTGATTCTCCATGAGTCATATCCCCTTGTAGCCCGGTTTCCTTGTCATGTTGGATGTTCCTGTCTCGATTCTCCTGACTTATTGGTATTCGTTCAGGCGTACACAAAAACTCAGGAAAAATGAACAAGCTCCTAAACCCAAACCCCCTAAACCCTAAACCCTTGCAGAAATACGCCACTGAGGCACAGCTGTTGGTCTTGCTCTTGCCTCCCAGCAATGAGGCATGTGTGGTTTGAGGGCGGGTTGCTGGTAGTTCTACGGTTTGGGGTTTATGGTTTAGGGTTCAGGGTTTGGGGTTCAGCGTTTAGGGTTTAGGGTTCAGGCACAAGGATTTCAGGGTATAGGGCTTGGGATTCAGGATCTAGAGTGTAGGGTTCAGGTTTGGGGGTTTTGTTTGAGGCTGCCACATACAGTACAGCTCATGAAGCAGGCTTTGTGCCAAGGAGGAGTTTGTTTGGCCGCCTGTCCTGAAACATAGCTTAATGGTATTACTGTTTAAAACAGCAATAATCGTAATAAATCATAATGATAACAGTAATAACAGGATACGAACAAGAGTAATTATTGTAATGACAGTATTCATAGTAGTAAGAGCAATAATGGCTTAACCAAGGTGTGCCCCGGCTGTGCAGCACGTACGTATTAATCTAATGGTGAGGAGTACGAGCATTAGCATTAGCAACAGATTTTTGCGTGAAGATCACTGGCTTTCTACTGCGCTGTTCCAAAAGTTCGACCCGCTCTCTTAAACCAGATATTTTGTCAAACTGGGCACGGCAGTAACAAATCCTCCTCCCCATAGACTCCTAACACTGAGCCTTGGGGCCTCCGCTGGACTGTATTTTTGAAGCAGGGTATTAATTACTGCACTAGCAGAGCCAGTGAAAACGGCATGTGGGGCCCCTCCGTTACTCCGCAAGATGTTTGAACTACAGTCAACATGCTAAAAGGCCCGGTAGCTCAAAACTTTCGGAACGCCGACGTATGAACGTCTCTTCCGGTTCCAAACTATAATTTGGGGGCTTCCAAAACATGAAGGGTCCCCTTTGACGAGTGCTTATGATAAGAACTAAAGATTCAAGCATGTTGGGTACATAGCAAGTCCCCCTCTTTACGGGAACTCCCATCTTAGTGCATTCATGTCTTGGCATGCTCCTCAACAGTGGCCCCTACATAATTTCTGTGAGTCTGCGTTCCGTCCCGTCTGAGCATGAGAAAGATTGATATTTGTTGCTCTGCTTTTGGCTATCTGCGGTATTCTTGTATAGGTCAGGCCCCGAACCACGCGTAGAGGTATAGAAGGAAGATGTAGCCCCAACTGAAATATTGTTGGTGGAGGACATCAGGCACCACCTTGGGTCCCAAGCTGGCGGGTGAGGCCAACCTAAATTCCTAAACCCTGAAACCTACGGTGGTACTAAACATCCCGCATGGCCCTAAGTACCTTACACCTTGGGAAGTACGGTATTCTGGTATATTGAGGTATTGCAGGATTTTCTGGGTTGCTGTTAAGGCACTTAAGATTAAATCACAGCAATGAGAAATCCCTATCATGTACTACATACCCATACTATGGTAACTTAAGTTCCGTAACCCTAAACCCTAGACCTTTCCAGCAACCCTGGTGTTTAGTAGCAACCGCTAAACCCTAAACCCTAAATATTAGTTTCGATTTTCCCGCTATCCCCATATAACCCCAGTATAACCCCTAGATAACCCCTATGTTGCCCCAATATAACCCCAATTCCACCCCAATATACATTCTTAGAGGCCGTCTGAACCCTGGTGGCCAGGTCCAGGCCTCTGGATCAGAGGAGACATGCATTTCTCATCCAGAACTCATGACGTTAGGGTTTAGGATTTAGGGTCCTGGGTTTAAGAACGATGGTTTTGGGTCTAGGCTTGAGGATTTAAGAACCTAGGGTTTTGGGGTGTTTTTACCCTTCTAAGAAGGCCTTGTTCTTCGCGCAAACCATTCAGCGCGTTGTTATAGTCAAGGCGTTTAGATCCTCCAGAATTCCTTCACAGAGTTCTCCAAAATGGGCAGGCCTTGCAAAACATCCTAAACCCTAAACCAGAATTACTTCCTGTTCTTCCGAGGTTTCCAAGGGCCACCCTTCAAGGGATGTGTGCCTACATGTAAGGCTCACAGATGGGCTTTATGGGGTCTATACAGGCTTCCTTTAAGGGTACTTCTCTGATTTCTGTCCACCCGGATGTTTTTCTGGGCCTTTCTTGAGATTTCCTGATTTCGGAGGGGCTTAGACAAGTGGGAACAACCCAGCTTCTTTGGTCTTCTATAGTCCCCTTTAATATAGGTAGAGGGCTCACTGGATCCCGTGTTTTGGGGATCTAGATGATCTACTAGGACAATTATGATCGAATCCAAAGTCTAAATCGCATGCGTGTTCCTCTCAAAACCTCAACCCGAAACCCCAAGTAATATTGTAGCTTCCATTCGCTTCTCCATTTCCTTATATAACCCTGTATACCCCTACATTACCCCATTTCCCCCTCACAACCTTATCTATCGTTCTGCAGCCCTATACACACCCACAGGCCCCCATACACCCCTACATACCCCCATACACCCCCGTACAAGCCTATACATGTCTATAAAACCTTGCCATACTGTGTGCTCATGTGCTTGCCTTGCCTGCTACCCCTACTTCACTCGCCATTGAAGTATTCCCAGGTCCCAACAAGGTCCCAACAATAAGCATTACAGCATGTTTATGTTTACGTGTCTAGATCGGGGTCTCCTATTTATGTGTGGGGGCCCTAAACCCTAAACCATAAAACCCGAAACCCTAAAAACCTGAAACCCTAAACCCTGAACCCTAGGGGAAGTCGTATGTACAGCCAGAATTCTTGCAACCGACAACAACCACTGCTCAGCCGTCGCAGGCCCTCTGACCTAGGGTTTAGGGTTTAGGGAATTTATAAATATGTCCCCATATACCCGATACTCTATCTACTTAAAGGGTTCCAAGTGATAGTTTCTGTAATTTCGGTGTTTTCTCGCCCACTATTCAGTATATGGAAGTTTTTCCAAATGATTCCTACAGCACCTGTCATAGGGGAGCCTAGAGTCTTTGAACATCCCCGCATGTCCCTACACAGGTCCCTCAGCTACCCCTACTCTGAGTCACATCCGCACTCCTTGAACCCTTGCCCTCAATCCTCAAGGCCCAAACCCCGTGCACCTAAATCCTAATCCTCATCTGACTTCGGGGTTTAGGCCTCAAGAGTTAGGGCCTAACCCTTAAGGCCTAAACCCCGCAAGCCTACATCCCTGAACCTCCCAAGCCCCAGGCCTAGAGCAGGACTGCGGTGATCCAAGCAGCACGCACTGGTGTGTGACTCAGAAACCTCCTGTTTGAGGCCTTTTCTCCGCATATGGAGGTTGAGTTGCTTATGGGTTTGGGGTGGGGGGGTGGGGGGTATAGTGGGGTTGTATAGGGATAATGGAGAAGAACATGGAGACTGCTATAGTACAATAGGATTATATAGGGATTATATTAGAGCCATATAGGGATAGGCTTAGGTTGAGCAGTTTTTCCGGCTCCAAATGCCTTAACTTCAGTCCTTAGTACTTTGTTTCGCAGATTGTTTGAAAGCATTTCCATGTTGGATTTCACGGCCACGGCCAGGCGAATGTGCCTCGCACCCCTCGATTAACATGGCCATTTAGGATCATTTCCACTCACTGCGCAGAGAGCTCCACTCTTCTCGGCGATCATGGCTGCCATTCTCATGCTTTTGGCGACCCTGAGCCTGGTGTCCGCAGACCTCAGCGTTGGCAAGTTGAACAACACACAGGGCGCTGGTCCCCGGCATTTGGCGGCTTGCGGCGCACCCGGCAAAGTGGACTGTGGAGTCTGCGAGTGCACGGTTAGGTCCGCTTGCCAGTGGTGCGACGGCATGGGCGGCCCTGCTGCTGTTGGCAGCGTCAGCCGACCATACGGTGCTGCTCCTGCAGGTG